TTAAGCCAAATGAATCATGTATCTTCTAAAAAAGGCAATACTACACATCATGCTTCCAACAAAGCAAGTTAGCATACCACCTTAATGAGAGAATTATGCCAAATGAATCATGCATCTTCTCAAAAAGGAAATACTACTCATCATGCTCTCAACATGTAAGTTACAACACGGCCTTCATGAGAGAATCATGCCAAATGAATCATGCGTCTTCTCAAAAAGGCAATACTACTCAAAGTGGAAGGTTATCACACCATGTATTTGAATTTTGAATTCTCTACTCCTTTCGCATGCTTAGCCTCCACGGTTTGTTAAGATGATGGGTCCATGTCGAATTTCCTTGAATCTTTCACATAAGGCAATAAACTTTAATTATTACAAAGTTAAAAACTTTAATTATGATTTGTAATAATAAATACAAAAATTCCTAAGTCTACATGTGGAATAAATGTGGTCTCACTTATTAAATAATTAAAGTTATATGAGAGTAAGCAAATTGCAGTCAGATGAGCCACGTTCAGCCACGACCTCCCTTGTAGCTCGTTTCAGCTCAACCACATTCTACTTAAACTCCTCCGAACTCGGCAAATCCGTATGGAACACTCCTGTCAGGGTTAGTGAGAGTAGAGAAATTGTTGAGTTTATTTTAGAAATAGTAGTACATGGTAAAGGGAGCACAAGGTTGAATCCAAAGACAAGCACATCAGATGTTGAACTGTGCAGCTACATCTTCTATCCATGGTATAAAGAGAGTTGCTAATGCGAGCTAGTTTCTTGGAACCACCAAGGAAGTTGTTTTTTATGTTAGAGAAGAATAGCACTTGGATTCCATCGGTTGTGATGAAGGTAGGTAAGGTGGTGGTGTCGCCACCATGATGGTGGACTTGAAGACACGGTGGTAAATTAATTCGGTGGTGACGAGTGTGGCATGAAGGCCTTTACTGAGGAGGTTTTTTCCTAGCATGAGTAAGGGGTTAATGTGGCCTTGGACTGAAAAGGCCACCAGTATAACACAAACCTCTTCTTTATTTTTATCCTCAAAAGAAGTCATGATTTCACAAATGTCATACACACTATGGGAGATGAATATTAGATTAGGAAAAATATAATGAGTAGAACTAAAGTGGAAGGCATGTGAGTTTTTAAAAGTGATAAAATAATCCAAACCTTTAATTTTAGGGTTAGGTGACGATTCACTTACTCCAAAAATAAATTTTGAGTAAGTTTTTTAAACTTATTCCACATTTTAGCCATTAATTCTAGGGAAATTCAATGGTTTAGATAAAAACTTACTCTTGGAGTCAATGAGTTCCTCCTCTTAATTTTAATCAAAAAGTTAAGAATCAATTTTCACTCTCTGCCCCACAACATTTTGTCTTTTTCACAAGATTGCATATCTTAATATATATATATATATATATAAATATAAGGGATCCATTGACTTAGAGAGTAAGTTTTAGCCATCAATTCTAGGGAAATCTAATGGTTTAAATTAGTTGATAGATCTAAATCATTGTATTTCCCTAGAATTGATGACTAAGATGTGAAATAAGTTTAAAAAACTTACTCTTGAAGTAAGTGGATCCCCACCTATATATATATATATAAGATGTATCTAGTGAGAAAAACAAAGTTATATGAGAGTGAGAGAAATAATTTTTCAGCCCTTAGATTAAAATTAACGTCTAAGATTAGAAGTTCATTTTAAAGCTTGATCTCTAATGTTCTAATTCAAACATTACAGCAAACACATTGTTGACAATATTAAGAAACCTGATTTTGTTCTGTTTGATGCAAGTAGTGTAAAAACCCAAATTTTACCCTTGAAATTTTTTCATTTATTATAATCTTTTCATGCATACATTCCTCATTTTACTTTAATCACTCATTAACCATTCCGTAAAACCACCTTTTTAACCTGTTATATTATCATACATTTCATATTACAGAAAAACATAATTCATTCAATTTATCCTTAGTAACTACTGCATACAACTAGTTTTGGGTTTCCAAGAATCATAATGCCCATAACTACACTTCTCCAGTGTTACCATAATCAAAAATTAAATTCATCCCAAAATATTGTTTAGTCAACTATAATACCAAAGTATAGATAAAGAAATCCAAGTTAGGAAACGCATAAAATTCCTAAGTGAGTCTTCTCCTCAAAATCTTTCATTTACCTACAATTGGATTATCATAGACAACTCTCACTCAGGCGAGACCACTCTCGCTCAAGCCAGACAATTCTCGCTCAAGCGAGAATCCTTCAGTATAGCTCAGGATTTCACCCTCCCAGGTGAGCCTCTCTCGCCTAGGCGACAATTCTCTCGCTCAAGCGAGACTCCCGGGACTAATACTATAATTTAATGACTTCAAAATCTAGGGTGTCACAATCCTCCCCCTCTTATAGGAATTTTCGTCCCCGAAAATTTTATTAGACTACTCTCGGAAAATAATATCATCGCCTAGACCATAGGCATAAGATATACTCAACCAAATTCATACTCGATCATCTAATCCATTAAGATTACTTAAACGACCACCAAGGGCACACACCACTAAACCGTGATATCACAAGGCCTATTTATGGTCAATCTCCTCAAGGTCCAAATACTAAGATCCCAATATCGAAAAACTCGAACAACTAAGAGAACGAAACTGTAACCAGACTAAAGATTTCCCAGTATTCATCAAGGACCATAGGTCTCTCTGACCTATCCAACTAACAATCCTTACATACATTCAGAATTCCCAATAACACTTCCGAAACCAAGGGGATGGGGAATTCCTTACCCCTCATCTACCACAATGCATCATTTAACATCCATCTTGTACTAGCTAGTTTCACCTCCACTCAAGGAAAAAGCATAAATTCGTTCCACACATTAAACAAAACTACTATTTGCCCAAAATTTATCTTAGCATTCCCAACAATACATGCACTACCACATAAAAACAAGGTAGTCACTCAACAAAAGCATCTAAACAACTAAGACTTTTAGAGTCGCTTCCCGTGTACACAACCAACTATCCAGTAATTTTCCAATTACATCCAACCTTTCCACCACCATACAATACAGTAGAGGGGAATTACCAATCCCTAGCCTCAATTGGACACACGAAACCATTGATTCACCCAAAACTAGGTACTCTGTTACCAATCGACAAGTGCAAAAATACAAACACTCAATCCCATAACATACGTTAGAAGTGGATACCTCAATTACCCTAGTAATTATAAATTTAGTACTCCACTTGCAGCACGTCTAGAAATACATGGTCATAAGCGTATTACCAATTTTTTTAACAACCTCATATTTATCAAGAGACGGTTTCTAAAATTTCGGGATTCTCCAACATGATACTAAATCAATGTTTAGTCACAAGCTAAGTTTCACCCAAGAATGATTTTCAAAAATGGTTTGAACACACGATTCATGGAAACCATGTCGTGAAAACAGAGTTTACGTAATCATTTCAACATAACTCATAACCCTTCCTCTCATGCGGTTACACCACAATCATGCATAGCAATTACTGACGCATATGAAACGGAAACAACTTTTGTCGGTACAACATTCAAAGTAGATAATCGGTGTACACCACCACTATATCGTGCATTGCCAATGTTCTACTGCAAAAGGACCGATCATCATAGACCAAAAGTTTCACGTTTATTCAAATGCATTCATCACATTGACGGGGTAAGTAACTGAACTAGCCTCCTTCCTTACCTGGCGATATAAGTTTTACCCCTTAGCATACATATATAGATCAATGCAAATTAGATCTTAATTCCTCACTGAGATACTCAACAAGAATATTTCACATCAACAATTATCACATAGTTAAGCATAACACGATTTGCTGACCGCCAGTCCATCACTAAGATTAAATCCAGCTGGGACATCATTAAGCGTATCAGAACTATGGTAAAGGTTCTACCATTTACCCCAACCGTACACTGAGACACCAATATCGATACCCACCACCAGTACACTGAGTAGGGTGGATATGACCAAGTCGAAAACAACGACTCTAGGTACAATCTCAGTCGGTTCACACATTCAACAATTACGAGGAGTGTGTTGCTCCCGAATAAAACAATACTATAAGAGGAATACATGCCAACATGCAATTACCTTTAACCGGATCATCAACACCATGCCCATAACTACACTTCTCCAATGTTACCATAATTAGAAATTACATTCATCCCAAAATATTGTTTAGTCAACTATAGTACCAAAGTATAGATAAAGAAATTCAAGTTAGGAAACGCATAAAATTCCTAAGTGATCCTTCTCCTCAAAATCTTTTGTTTACCTACAATGGGATTATCATAAACAACACATAAATTTTTTAAATTAAAACAAATAAGAATGCACATTGAGTGATTAGTGAGATTTATTATGGTATTTGAGAGGAAACAGGTGGGAAGTGGGTTGCAGCAGATTGAAGATACAATCACTCACAAGGGTACCACCAAATTTAGAGATGGTAAATCGATATGCACATGTAATGGAGAGGATGGATTGAAACACACTTGCATAGAGATGAGAGATGGATGGATAGAAGGAAAAAAGATGTGAAAATGAGTTTCCAATCTTAGCCCTTAATTTTAATTTCAAACTGAGGATTATTCTTCTTACTCTCGTATAATTTTGTCTTTCTCACTAAATATGTCTCTGTATATATATATATAATCTTCATTTTACATCACCTGAAGTAAAACAAAAGGCATGACCCACTAGAGTCATTTGCACAACACATTTCTACAATGAATAATAAACACGTAACATATATAAAAACAAAATCTCATTCATTTAAATCACTTTTCCAAGTTTCCTCTGATATAAGTTTTGCACACTGCATATTTGTCCAAATAACCACATAGAACAGCTTAATTACTTCCACGACTAACAGACTGTGAATACATTACAACCTCCTGTTTTTTCAGAAATTCAAACACTTGCAAGTTGAGTAGAAATGACTAATTTGTAGAAAAATGAAGTTTCAGGAAATCTGGCTTTTTATAATTTGGGTAAGAAATCATTCTTCCAACTCTCTTATGATGTCTTCAATCGGCCAAATATGCATCTTAATTGCCATATAAGTTAATTTAGACGAAGTTCTTACGGAACATACAAGAAGGGTAAACATGGGAAATGTTATATAAAAAATATATAATTAACATTTATTGTTAGATTACGAAATTAAAACTAACTAAGTATTCTAGCCGTTTCTATAATCCAAAATAAAAGTTTTTTCTCACTTCACTTTCATTTCATTTCGTAGATAACAAAGTAGAAGAAAGAAAATTACTCTGATGGCTAATGAGTTTGGTTTGATAAACAAAACAAGCATTAAATAAACACAATAAAAAACGAGTTTAAATGTATAGTCCGTGCCACAATAACCCATTTTAGTTGTTGAATTTGATGTTTTCTCGGTTACCCTTTTACTGTTTTTATCCAATTCCATGTTTAGATGTGTTTTTATTTTTCTAGGGTTTGTAGAGTATGCCCAAACTTGGTTGATATAAGACACAATCTGGGTTTGTTTGTTTTTTGCTTTATCTATTTTCAAGTCACTGTGACCCATTCTTTATTTTTATAGTTGGGATTTGATTTTTATTTTTGAATTTTGGAGGTTTTTTGGGTGAATTTTCTTTGTGGAGTGGGTATTTTGTGAAATCTAGTGAAGGGTCATTTTGGTTATTTGTATCAAGGAATTCATGTTTACTAGTTTATGTGCTATGATTGATGCAATGAGGCTTCTAGAACTTTGTTTTTTTTTTACTGTGGCTGTTGTAGATTAAATGGTTGGAAAATGAATAAAAAATGTTGATTTTCATGTAGCTCATAATGCTGAGCTTTTTATACTATGCTTAAGTGTCTTCTTTATGCATACTAGTTTATGATTAAATTTGTTGAACAAGAGCTTCTAAGATGATGCTTGATGGGAACTAGAGGGCTAGAGATTTAAATTGCGGACAATATGACCAGATGTGACCGTAATATTGTGGTTGCGGTGACCGTTGCAACCACATCACTCCGCCATTACAGTGTGATTCCGAATTACAATGATGTGACCGCATCAGGTCGCAACGCAACTGCAGCAGACCACATTTGAACTGCACCAGACCGCATCAGATTCAAAAATATTGTTTTAATCACAAAATAGTTCACACCGCAACAGCCGTGGTAAAGTTGGAGAACATGTTCAATAGACTCCTCAGCCTCACCACAAAAAGGAGAGATATTATGATTATACAAATTAACAGTCATCTGTAACTTAGATTTGAGATTTTGCAAACAACATTGAGTATGTAATGTACAAATCAGAATGTCGTTTAAAGCTATTATGTACAGAATTCATAATCTATTCTTTTGGTGAAATTAAGTAATAACTTCACTAGCTTTTGCTTTAGTTTCATTTATGTGATTGTTTTGCAGCTTATTTCGTCAAATTAATTTCACTTGCAAAGGAAAAAAACATGTATGGATAACAATTGAAATTATTGAAATAATGAGTCATATGAGTCTAAATTCGTTCAATTTAATACTAGCATGATGCTCAAAATTCTGTACCATTTTAAATGTATGCTCTACCTTTGTAACTTAAGAAAAAGTTTGAATGAAACATGAAGTGTTTATGCAACACTAACCTGTCTTATCACCATGACATAGAACATTTTAATCACTATAGGACACCTGAAAAGCCAAGCAGTCTATATGCCTTTATTATGGGTTGGCTTTAGCTATAGAATCCTAACTGACAGTCCTATAATCAAATTGGCAATCATGTTTATTAGAATGGTGAAGCATTGCACAGAAGAGGTTTCCACATCAGCAGCTGAGCCCAATTAACTCAACACACTTCTTGTAGCAGAAATCTCAGGATGTCCTGCTTCAAGAGTTTATCCTGCTCCTGCTTCAACAACATGTTCTTTAGCACTTAGAACACATGTTCATGGTAGTAGCATGTTTTAGATTGCGGTTGTGGACGCGATTGCGGTAACGGTTGCGATTACTGCGTTTGCGGTTATTGGGATGCGGATTGTGGCCTTTGCGGTGTGAATTATTTTGTGATTAACACAATCTTTTTGAATCCGATGCGGTCTGATGCGGCCTAATGTGGTCCAAATATGGTTGCGTTGTGACCGCATCATTGTGATTCGGAGTCACACCACAATTGTGGTGTGATGCGGTTGCAGAGGTCACCACAACCGCAATATTCGGTCCATTAAGTGATGCGGTCCGCAATTTAAATCACTCGTTTAAACTTGACATTTACCTTTTATGAGACCCTTCTTCTTACAATTACTACAGGTAGAGGACTCTTTCTTGAGCAATTCCAAGCTACATTTCATAAGCAAAGTTTGTGGGCGCCCTTCAGTTGCCAAAATTGGAGGATCACGAAATGTTATAGCATTATTTGAATCTTTTAGGATAATTTGGTTTGTGGGATTACAAAAATCTTCCTTTTATTCTTCAACTTCCAACTGATCAAGGTCTGCAATTAATTTTTGTATACATTGAATTGCAACATAATGATGCTTTTCTCTGCAATCAAGATTTGAGAGCCAACCTACTCATCCTAAAATATCCTAAACAATTTTCTTCTTCCATGAGATATAAAGTTCGCAAAACTGGTTTTGAATTATCTGACTTGAAAATCTTTTCTCTTCCCTTATTGTATCGTGCATCAAGAGCATTTGATTGTTGATGATGATGATTAACTCCATTGAATGGAACAAAAGGCATTTTAATTTGTATCTATTAGTTAAGTATGTAGGATCAAAATTCACTACATCACCAAAATACTTGTAAGCCATTCTAGATCTTGAATCAACCGAAAAGCAATTTGCCAATTGTCCTTCAACATCCATTAGAAATGCATAAAAAATCCACAATTCTTCATTTGGCAATTCTAGAAATACAATATTATCTAAGCATAAATTATGAACTTCTTGGGGAAAATAGTTGGTGATTATGGTCTCTTACAAATCTAGAAATAATCCATATATCATTCTTTTTTCTTCACATATCATTGCCTTGCATCCTACCCTTGTTTCATCCCGTGGTGCATATCTGTTAGTTTCATTTTTCGCATATTTTTTGGCCTTAAATCCCTCCTTTTAATATACCATCTCTTGACGAATAAATAATTCATATATCTACTTCACGTTTTAGCCATCAATTCTTAAAAAATCTAATGATTTAGATTACTCGGTAATTTAAACCATTAGATTTTTGAATAATAAATAACTATGATGTGGAGTAGTTTTTTCCAATTAGAGTAAGTGAATTTCTTCTCAACAGTGAATAATGAAAATTTTGTAAGATAAGAGAGAGCAAAAACTGCACCATAAAAAGAGAAAGAAAATAAAATACTCAATGATTAGCAAATTAAACACACTCTTCTTTTACCCATTAAATATAGACACTTAATTAAATTAAAATAAAGTATAAAAGTGAAGAATTTAGAGCCGCTAGAACCCGAATATGATGCCGCATTTTCATTTTTTTTTTTCTGCTTCGCATTTTCATTTTCAACTTGCAGCAGGAGAATAGATTGTGCGGTAAAAAAAAGAAATGCAGAAACAAGAAAATAAAAAGCAAGCAAAGCCACATACTATCATTATTTTTTTTGTATAACTAAATGTATTACATTTAATATTTTAATCCATATAAAAGAATAAACATCTTCCAATCACTGTGTGGAGTTAGGATATGTATAAAAAATCAAGAGAAAATGCAATGTTCAACATCATTTTGATTACAATAATATTACAATTTTGCCATTAAAAAATAAAGAAAAAAATGTATTTATCTTTCCATTAACTCTCCATTAATGCAGAGGATCCTAATTCCTCATGGTACCACCAACCAAACACACACAAAAAGAAGTGTATATATTATTCCTCCTCTTCTATTCTGTTTTATGTAATAATAACTCACTCTCTTATTTTTTTAGTTATTTTCTTTTATTTAAGCTCTAACTATTTGTTTATTACATTCTTCATATTCTTGCCCCAAGTTCCTCTTTTGCAACTTCTTCTGCTCAAATCTGTTCATTCCCTTCCTCAAAATTGCACCTTTAATCTTGTATTCATGGCACCAACTTGGGTTCTTCTTTTTCTGTGCCTGATTCTTCTATCTTCAACCCCTTCTGACTCAGTAAATATTCACCCACAAGACAAAACCTCACTTTTGAGCTTCAAATCATGGCTTCAAGACCCAAACCAAAGCTTATCCAACTGGGTATCCTCTAACTCTAACTGCACTACATGGACTGGAATAACATGTGACAACATTACTGGAAAAGTTGTCTCAATCAACTTGACAAGTATGAACTTGTCTGGCCAAATCAACCCAAGTTTCTGTTACTTATCATACCTTAACAAAGTTGTTTTGTCACACAATAACTTCACATGTCCTCTTCCTGTGTGTTTTGGAAAGTTGGTTAGTCTCAGAACCATTGATCTAAGCCATAACAGGTTTCATGGTGGGATACCAGACTCTTTCATGAGGCTTAGGCACCTTACTGAGCTTGTTTTGAATGGGAACAAGGGTTTGGGAGGTTCAATACCTAGCTGGATGGGAAATTTCTCTGCAAGTTTTGAAAGATTGGATCTTGGTTTTAGTTCATTTAGTGGTGGTATTCCTGAGAGCTTGCTTTATTTGAAGTCACTGAAGTATTTGGATCTTGAAAGCAATTTGTTGAGTGGTAATTTGGTTGATTTTCACCAGCCTTTGGTTTTTCTTAACCTTGCTTCGAATCGATTTTCGGGTACTTTGCCTTGCTTTGCAGTTTCAGCTAAGTCTTTGAATGTATTGAATCTGTCTAATAATTCTATTGTGGGGGGATTGCCTGCTTGTATTGCATCTTTTCAAGCTTTGAATCATTTGAACCTATCAGGGAACCACTTGAAGTACAGGATATCTCCAAAGCTTGTGTTTTCGGAGAAGCTTCTTGTTTTGGACTTGAGTAATAATGATCTGTCCGGTGCTATTCCGAGTAAAATTGCAGAGACGACCGATAAATTTGGACTTGTTCTTATTGACCTTTCTCACAATCAATTCTCTGGTGAAATTCCATTGGAAATCACAGAATTGAAAAGTTTGCAGGCTTTGTTCCTTTCACACAATCTTCTGTCTGGAGAGATTCCTGCTAGAATTGGAAATTTGACTTACCTCCAAGTCATTGATCTCTCTCACAACTCTTTGTCTGGTACCATTCCATTGAACATTGTTGGTTGCTTTCAACTGCTTGCTCTAATTCTTAATAACAACAATCTTTCGGGCGTTATTCAACCCGAGTTTGACGCATTGGATAGCTTGAAGATACTCGATATAAGTAACAACAGGTTTTCCGGGGTTATTCCACTCACTTTAGCTGGATGTAGATCTCTGGAGATTGTAGATTTCAGTTTCAATGATCTTTCCGGTTCGTTGAATGATGCAATGACCAAATGGACAAACCTCAGGTATCTTTCTCTGGCTCAGAATAAGTTCAGTGGAACTTTACCTAGTTGGTTGTTCACATTTGAAGCAATAGAAATGCTGGATTTCTCACACAACAAATTTTCTGGCTTCATACCTGATATTAATTTTAAGGGTAGCTTATTATTTAACATAAGAGATGTCACCATTAATGAGCCATTGGTTGCAGCAAGTAAAGTCCAGCTAAGAGTTTCGGTCGTTGTTTCTGATAGCAACCAATCCAGTTTCACTTATGATCTTTCTTCAATGGTCGGAATTGATCTATCCAGCAACTTTCTACACGGGGAGATTCCACGCGGCTTATTTGGCCTAACCGGCCTAGAATATCTCAATTTGTCATGCAACTTTCTTGGTGGACAGCTTCCAGGTTTACAGAAAATGCAGCGTTTGAGAGCCTTGGATTTGTCGCGCAATTCCTTATCCGGACATATCCCCGGAAACATTTCCAGTCTTCAAGCTCTGAGCGTCTTGAATTTGTCTTACAACTGTTTTTCTGGATATGTTCTCCAGAAGCAAGGGTATGGGAGATTTCCTGGTGCATTTGCTGGGAATCCCGAGTTATGCTTCGAATTATCCGGTGGAAAATGTGATGGTAAA